ATAAAAGAGTCAAATATAATAATAATTATAATTATAATAAATAATGACATTCTTGACAGAAATAGTCCGTTTAGAAGTCAAGCAATCCCTGGTTGTCCCACACATTGGCCGATCGGTTCTGTTGCTGCAGTTGTGTCTGTTGTTGAGTCAATTGGTTGATGTTTGGCGCCTGTAGTCTGAACTGGACCTGTCCTCCCTGTTGCGGCACTAATCCAATGTTCTGTTGCTGTTGGACGAGGATCTGTTGTTGTGGTAAATTGGCTCTCATTTGTTGCTGTTGTTGCTGCTGTTGGTGTTGTTGCAGGAGATGTCTGAGCTGTGGATTGTTGTTAATACCACCGGACACCTGCTGCTGCTGTTGTTGTTGCTGTTGCTGCTGCTGTTGTTGTTGTTGTTGTTGAAGTTGTTGGAACTGTTTCTGTTGCAGTTGTTGTTGAAGTTGTTGTCTGATCTGAGTTTGTTGTATCTGTTGCTGTTGCTGTTGAACCTGTTGTTGGTCGAGAGGCACGTGTTGTTGCTGTTGGAACTCCAACTCTTTCCTCTGCGCCTCTTTCAACGTCTGTTCCAACTGTTGAATGGCTAACAAATTCTTCTGTCTCTCAGAAGTGATGGCTGACTGAAAACGGGGCGCACTGTTAGGCAACTGTTGACCCACTGTTGGCGTCTGTATGGGATTCTGCATTAGACCGAACTGTTGATTGGATTGGGCACCGGTAGGATTGGGCGGTTGTTGTGGCGTTGGAGGCATTTGCGGTCCAGTGTTTTGGACCAAAGCCTGAAGATTGCTGGGAATGAATGTGTTTTTTTGTGAACTATTAGGCGGTCCCAGGGCTTGGTTTAGGAGTACATTCTGGTTGACATTCTGCTGGGGCTGTTGTCCACCCACATTCATTGGTGCCGAACCCATACCACTGGACAGTGAGTTCAGAGGGATAGACGATATGTTGGCGCCCGTCGTCTGTTGCATAGTTCCGCCGGACATTTGCTGCAGCTTTCGATTCAATTAGAAAATATCATTAGATATCCACTCAAACTCATATCTCAATGAAAATAAAGTTGTCATTAAATAATGGCTAAGAGTTAGCCGAAAGCACCCGAAAGGCAGTCTCGCCGGTAATGATCGGCAAAGTGTTCAATACCTGGAATATACTGTTTGGCGCGGATATTGGTTGTGAATGTTGTGGCGGTTGTGTGGACTGAACTGATAACTGAACCGGCATTTGTCCGCCTATTTGTGTCTGTGCGCCAGCAATGGTTACTTGCTGTGAACCTAAACCTACTGGCATTTGTCCGCCCGGGTTCAC